AGAAATGACGTCTTGACATCGAAGAATCTGTATTCGAAGGCCACCTTTCTTGCATATAGGATTATCGGTACATGATTCACAACATTGTTTGAATACACATAGATTTGGCTCATGCAGTAAAGATCCATTGGGTAATTCCTTCTCCTGACGGGTTTCCAAATCGTAAAATATTAATAAGACATCATTTGATTTAGGAATACTTCTGTCAGGCTGTATATAGCACATATGTTCAATTGGTTGATTTTTATAACATGTTTTACAAAGTATATATCCGCAGATGTGATCATTACCGTTGTGAACTTTAAAACAGTCTACACATCTTTTAATTTTAGAACAGACCGAAGGTAAATGAGCGTTAAAACATTCTTGTCCATAAAAGCTTCTATTACATTCTTTGCATTTGATGTGCTTCGTTTTCAGGCAGGCCGGAGATCTTTTACAAGCATAACATTGTTTATCACATCTATGAATTTGTTTAGTATTATACGGAATGTGGCAGTTCTCACAAAAAAAGCTGCAGCAAAAGGCAGCAGTGAGGGATGTTATGACGCTGTAGTGCCCCTCGTGATATATTAGGTTAAGCGTCGGACCAGCGGACATGCCTTCAAAAATGACGTTACGACCTTTGCACCCAAACTTGTATACAACAATTTTGTAGTTTTGCAGATATCGTTGTAGCTTTTGAAGTTCAGGTATTCCACACCCCTCCTCAGGGATAACAATATCAGCCTTTTCCACAAGTTGTACAGCTCTTTGTCCTTGTATTTTTCCTCGATCACGGCGGATTCTGCTATAATCTTTGTCTTTGTTCAAATGGGCCATGGCGATGACAAGGGCTCGTGGGAGACACAAATTATCGGTGTTTTTAACAGTGATAATGCCTTTTCTTTTGGCGCATTCCTCATCAAAGGTATTGAAATTCTGAGCTCTACCACGACCAGCAGGCAACCTTACGGACGTAATACCCAAGCAAAAAGTCTCGGTATTCAACCCCACAGAATTTGACTGATAGATGGAAGATATCTTCTCCCATATGTCCTCAGTTGAAACGTCGGAAAACAATTTAAAAGCTATCCATCCTTGACCGCGGGTAAAGTCTTTGGAACAGAAAGTGAATCCAACTTGATCACTGGGCTGGAGATGTTCAGTTCCTTTGGCTACTATTTCCTCCAGAGCGTCTTTGATCCATCCCACAGGTTCGACGTCTTTAGGGATAGGTCGTATTTTAAATTCCACTTCTCGCCCATATAGATTAAATTTTTTAATCTTCTTAGTAGAATCCTTAACGATGAAGAATTTTTCCATTTTTTAAAAACTAAAACGTTAACTAGCGACTAAATCTGAACTGAGCACGTCTGTTCGCTGCAGATAACTGACAAGATAATTTGCGGTGATTCATAGGTATTTATAATCTCGATTTTACCCCCACCACTTTTTAACTGACCACAGTGTTTCAAGGTCACCGCTGTTATCGTTGGTCAGTATTAACTCGTTGACAGCCTGCGCTTCCTGCCCATTCACCCATGCTTAACAGCCCCGCCCGGTACTTCTTGCATATCACCGCTACGACAACACCTGCCCTGAACCTAACCTCATTTGCGACGTAGGTGATTGCCTTGTTGAATTTATTAGATACACAATATAGACTGTACTATGTTTTCAATATTGTATCAATGTTAAAAATTAACTAACATTAACTGTATGCACCACATATATGAGCAATTCCATTTTTATATGCACACTGAATATGACGTGTTGATTATTGAGATCATCCTATACGCATTGTTTCCCGCGAATTTTATACGTTTTTCCATTTAAACTGAATCAGCAGAATTGCATCTATAAATATCATTATTCATGGGCTTTTATCGATCTATATGCAAATATTTACCGCAAAACATGAAATGAGTCACATCGCTTACGCATAGACGTTATACTACACCTTACTATCGTCGGCTGTCTGAATCACTTCCGGTCGGGTGCGCCATCTAACGGGGCCCGCCAATCAACATATACCATCAACCCGTTCAAACTTCCCGCCGTCTGATCCACCAATCAGAGCACGCGGTGGATCTAGCGGTTCCCGCCAATCAACATATACCATCAACCCCGTTCAAATTTCCCGCCGTTTGATCCGCCAATCAGAGCACGCGGTGGATGTGGTGGGCGTGGCCAAAAAGTGGAAGTGGTGGGGGGCGCCCAGAGTGCACCAGTATCTACTAAGATAACAGAACTTTGTAGAAAATTTCCTGAAGCTTTTCTAAAACCTAACGAAAAATTAGAGCCATGTACCGTAACATCTCATTCTATCAGAACAAAACACGACGACCCAATATTTGTAAAATCTTTTCGCTATCCAATCTATTTAAAAACCGAAATTCAGAAACAAGTCGCTAAACTTTTGCAAGATGACATCATCCGTCCCAGTACAAGTCCGTACTCATCACCTGTATGGATCATAAATAAGAAGCCTGACGCTTCCGGCGTTAAAAAATATCGCATGGTAATCGATTTTCGTAAACTAAATGACATTACTATCGAAGATAAATATCCTTTGCCTCGAACTGAAGAAATATTAGAGAGTTTAGGCAAAGCCAAATATTTTTCAACGTTAGATCTGGCACAAGGATTCCTATGCACAAAGACTCAATTGAAAAGGCTGCCTTCACCGTCGACAACGGGCACTATGAATACTTTCGAATGCCCTTCGGACTGAAAAACGCTCCAGCAACACTCCAAAGAATGATGAATTTTGTTTTAAAACCTTACATCGGAAACATATGTTTCGTCTATTTAGATGACATAATAATTTTCTCAAAATCATTGCAAGACCACCTTATTCATTTGAAATCTATATTTCAAGCTTTAATTAAACATCAATTGAAAATACAACTTGACAAAACAGAGTTCCTAAGAACATACGTTCCATTTCTGGGACATGTAATAACGCCAAACGGAATTAAACCAAATCCGGATAAAATCAGATGCATTCAAGATTTTCCAATACCAAAAACTATCAAACAAATTCAATCATTTTTAGGATTAACCAACTATTACAGAAAATTCATTAAAGACTTTACCAAAATTACCAAACCTTTCACTAAATGTTTAAAGAAAGACGAGAAAATCAACATTTCAGATCCTGATTACATTCAAGCTTTTGATGTAATAAGAAAGACTATCACTAATTCACCCGTACTCCAATATCCTGATTTTTTAAAAACGTTCACATTAACAACCGACGACGCCTCAAATATTGCGATAGGAAGTGTTCTATCACAAGACGGAAGACCTATCAGTTTTCATTCAAGAACATTAAACTCTGCTGAACGAAATTATTCCACCATTGGAAAAGAACATTAAACTCTGCTGAACGAAATTATTGCACCATTGAAGAAGAACTCTTAGCCATTATTGATTCATGCAAACACTTTAGACCATATTTATTTGGACATAGATTTCTGATTGAGACTGATCATAAACCTTTGGTGTGGTTATCAAATTTGAAAGAACTAAACCAGAGACTAATTAGATGGAAAATCAAACTTGAGGAATACGATTTCGAAATCAAATACAAAAAAGGCACAACAAATTTAGTTGCTGACGCCTTAAGCGGATCCAGATAAATGTTCAGGATTATCTCGAAACCGAATCAATGATTCCTAACGTTACCCGAATCAGAAATGACTATTCACGAAACAGAAAACAGATCAACTAACACAAGACACACTTCCTCAATCAAACCCAAACTCGATTCAATTTTCAGACAAAAACATTTATGCCTATCCTCACCGAATTGAATTTATAACAGGTAAAAAGAAAAACAAGATCAAGTTACTTCCGAATAAGACACTAAGGTGCTCTTTAATTAATCACTTATGTTCCTCATTTATTTTGGATTGTATAAAAAATTATTGTACCCCTGGTATTAAATACGAAATTTGGTACGACGATCAGAAACTTTTGCCCATACTTAGTAAAATTATGACACAATCTTTTTCTGCAAAACATATTGTACTAGAAAAAGCTGCACTTAAACCAATTTATTTAGACAAACAAGAAATGAAAGACGAAATAACTTTGTACCATCATAAACTTCACAACGGAATTAATGAAACTTATTCTCATTTCCAAAAGACTCACTTACACCAAAACTTAAAGACCTTATAACTGACATCGAAATCTGTTTAAAAGCCAGATATGAACGAAAACCTTACAAAGAACCAATCCAAGGCCCATTTTTCAGTAACAAGCCATTCCAACTAGTGTTCATAGATATTTTTACTATTGAAAATACTAAATATGTAACTTTTATAGACCACTTTAGTCGATATGCCCAAGCCTATCAGACCATGTCACGAAATCACGTTGACATACTATCTAAAATGAAACATTTCTTTTCACATCATGGATTTCCAAAATCACTTCATGCCGATTATGGAGAATTACGCTCAGAAGTTATTAAAGATTATTGTAAAGCTCATGAAATACATTTGCACTTAGGAAGCACCAGCAATCCTAGTTCTATTGCACTAATTGAACGATTACATAGTACTATTGGAGAAAAATTTCGAATCCGAAGACAGACTCGAAAAACAGACACTACTACTGACCTAATGACTGACGTTATATTAAATTACAATCAATCAGTTCATTCTACTACAAAAGATACACCTTTTGATTTATTATACGGTAGTACTGAAGACCCTTATTCATCACATCTTAAACAAATATTAGAAAAAGACAAAATTAATGAACAAATCGCTCACGATTCTTATAATCAATTAAAAAAACAAACTAACAAAATTAACGAAAAACGCGTATCTAAGATCCCCGTTTTAAAACCTCCGATCTATATCAAAATCCCAATCAGACAAACTAAGGACAAACCAAAATATCAAAAACACACTATTTTCAAACAACAAGGAAATCAAATTTTAATCAAAGATAGAAAACACATGCTGAGACGAATCAAGCCTCAACCTAAAAATCCTTTACAGAGATCTACCAGTCCAATGCCTACCAATTCGAGCGCTACTGATGAACCCTCTGCTCAAAGCACCTCCGGTAATCAAACTGCCGCTAGGAAATTCAAGATTAATCGAAAATCGTCATAAAACTCAATTCCTTATTAATTTAAATTATATAACCAATCCAACACTACGTGAAAATCAACACGCACTGAATCTACAGAATCAAAAAGTTATTTTCTTCTGTAAAGGTTTGCAAGGCACTTTTGAGCACAATACTATCAATATCCAAGAAAGCATAGTTTCTGTTACACAAAATATGGCTTTTCAAATGAAATTCTTCGAGCAAATCGCACATGAAATAAATTTAAATTCAAATTAATCATTTGAGCGTCCTATCCATTCTTTCATTAAATCATAGGGAAATAAATATCCTCATTGAACATTTGCAAACTTTATACCATAAAGATCATCTGTTAGATTTTGAAACAATGCACCCTTTTGAGATACTGAATCTTTGCGAACTATCAATTGTAACTTTGCGAAATGAATCGTATTCGTAATTCATGTACCACTTCTTGACCGTAAAAACTTACAGTGCTTTTGAATTGTATCCGTTAATTATAAGGAATGAATTAATAAAGATCCCAAGCAATTTTACTTTGTAATTTGAAGAAGAAAGATTTTGCTCCAATTTAATCAAACTAAGTAACAATCCGCATTTATGTTTTTAATTACTAAACAGGCACATGTAAGCCATCTATGATGGAAAATTGTCCTCATATTCACTTAAAATACTATTAATACTAATATTTCAATTGATATTAAAGACTGCAAGCTGATTGAATTATCAGTGCCTTTACTTGAAAGTAATTTTAGCTTTTTAAATCTTTCTTATTACCAAAATCATTCGGAAATAATAGTTCATACTAAGTTGCAAAACCTTTCCTATGACTCTTACAGCTGTGGAACCGCTTTGGAACCATATTGTAACTGTAAATTAAATTTTCTCCAAGTTGGAGACCAACTTTTCGTAGGACGGAGGAGTTATGGAATCCTGTTGGGAACATAACTATGTGGTACAAGCCCATTATTCCAACAAATTGAATTGTATGGCAAGCAAGCCCATTAAGAAAGATTTGCTTTTTACTTCTTTTTTTCGATACAGCTCTGTTATTTTTCCTATAAAGATTAGAACTATATCGAGGCACAGACAGATTTTGTTCAATACTTGTCCGTTATTTTTTTTACCATACGACGTGTGCATTCTTTATCTTATATTGTGATCCGTTTTTTTTATCAATATCTTGGTTTATTTGGCTCTCTGTGTACAATTAATTAGGTTCCTTCATCAGTATTAGATACTTTTATCTGTCTGGTGGTCAGGCAAAACAAGTTACGACTAACAACTCGGGGATTTGTAGCTTAATCCGTCCTGAGTCAGTGGCGCTCTGGCGCTCTTTACCCCCCCCCCCTACTCTAAGCTTTATTGAGCTAGGGCCTAAATTTGCACGCCACTTGACAGCTGTTTTGCATTGACTGATCCTTAAATTTCATCTATAGTGATTTATTAATTCATTAATTAATTAAAAAAACAAGTGAACAGGAATCACACCACCATTTCCTCTTATTTATAAAAAAAGGATTGGCAGTCAATAAGATTATTTTGTATTGGTAAACAGTGTTATTGAGTTAACTTTACAATTTTCATCATTTTTGTCTCCCAGTTCTGGATTTTATTTTCATATCTCTGTTTAAAATTCTGATTTTAAAATACATTTTAAATCTAAAACAGAGATGCTTAGCATCTGTGCTTATACCAGTACTGTAATTGGCATGGCTAAATCCATTAACGATTTTCAATAAATTTTAGCCAATTTTAACAACTCCGCTAAAGTAAGGTCAAGTTCATGGCATTAGTTCCGTGCCCTATTAAATTTGTGTTGCCAATAACAGTTCAGAACCCATTGTTCGCAAACTTGTCCATTTCTTGAAAAACTGGTGAAACCCTTTATTTTCTCAGAGTGTCGGGCATGGGGGTACTACCCTGCGGATATCTGAGGCAAGGCCACAGTGTAGCATGCTGCATGCACGGGAGTTACGCTGTTGGAGACTTTGAGGTTTCAAGATGAAAACTGCAGTATAAACTTTTTCATTGACCAAAACTATATGCTTTTTGAATTGTATGGAAATTTTCACTTTGCTTACGCTAGACGCAACATGTGTGTAATTTTTCCTTCAATAAAAACAAATTTTATTAAGCCCGGTACAAAAGTTTGTAAAGTTTTTTGAAAAACTCACATTCGCGAGCTCCCGTCTTAACTCAGCTGCTCACTCGCTAGAGTCCGTCTGATTTCCCCTATTTTCCCTGTATCGGGGTGTTTCAGCGTTCGTGGTAGTTCAAGTATACAAAAAATCCAATATGCGCTTACGTAAATAGGAGGCTCTTCAATGTTGGAATTGTCCTTTGTCCGGTGTACAATTGTGCTAAAATTAAGTGCATTTTTCTAGTAATATATACATCAAAGCATTAGGCTAATCGAGGTATCAGGTTTAAAAGGTACGTCAATTCCGGACCTGCGTGCAGCAAATGATCGGGTAGAAATATCAGCGTGGAAGCAGAGCGTGTTCTAAAAGTAAGCTGAACTGTTTTTATACAGGATGGCAAAACGAAAAGGTCGCACCCCCGTTTGTGACTCTCCCGGTATATTTTGGGAAAAACTAGTCACGCATCAATTTTGATTTCTACGAGGACGTTTTTTTTCATCTATAGCCTATTGTAGGCAGGGTGACCAAATATAGAATATTGCGCTATACTTTAGATTTTTAAATGGACACCCCCAATTATTATTTTTTTTTATTTTTCATTGTTTTTGTAACTTTTTTATGATAAAGCTTATACCTATCTTCAATAGAAGCCATTTGAGTTTATAACAAAATTCGACTGAATTAACTTAATACCGATAATAATGGAATGAACGGCAAAAAATAATACTCATGGATACCAGCGACAGCATTTAGCATCAGTCAATGTCATCGTATGTCATAGAAAAAATTTGCCTGTCATTTCAAATTGTTATGTTACCTATCGAGTTGTGATAGATATTGATATGATATAACAAAACCGTATTACAAAATGGGATTATTGCAAAAGCTGCTACCCGGCTGTTTAATGCGTTACATCCAGTCAAAAATATTTAGGATAAGTTGTATATGGCTGTGTTGATAAGAAAATTTCAAGAAACTGGATCTGTATCCAATGTTTGCCATAATTACTACCGAGAAAATCGAACAGTTAGAAACGAACCCGCAGAAATAGCAGTTTTGGGACACATAGCACTTGAGAATACCCAAAGCACTCGTCGACTGGCTACTTCTTCAGGATTTACACGCTCAACAGTAGAAATAATTTTGAAACATAATAAATTTCACACAAGATAAAACTTGTCCATTAGCTTAATGAAGGCGATTTTGATAGAAAGTTGGAGTATTACAAATGAATTTCCCATGTCGAATAAGTGTACGTTCTGTTTACATGGTGGTTTAAGTAGACATAATTATCGATATTGGAGTAAATCCACATTTGTTTCGAGAGGTACACTCGCAATAAATAAATGTGTAGGCCGGCATTTTCGGAGGCTCTTTTTTTATTCCTGTGAACTTGATGGGCGAGACGTACTTGGACATGTTAGAAAATAGAATAGAGCCACGAATTACCGAAATAATAGAGAATAACGTTAATTATAATGAAAGTTGCATTCGTTTCCGACAAGATGGTGCACCGCCATACCATGTGGCTCAAGTACAATAGTTTTTGGACTCCCAATTTCCCGAATCAGTGGATCGGTGACGAGGCCCCACCGAGGAGGAATAGATTCAAAGAGATTCAAACAAAATCTTTATTATTGCATGGATATACATATACACCACTTTCAGCACTTATTAACACATTGACCTACCTCTTTATAGCAAATTGATTCTTACTTTCACTTTAATGTGCGTGTAAATTGTCAGTTGTCTCTTGTTTGTTTTTGTTTTGTGCTCGGAGACTTTTTTTTAATTTTAAAGTAAAGTCTTGTTACCATGGGAACTATATTGATTCTTTTTTTAAGATATAATCCCTTATCACAATTTCTAGAATTTTTTTATGAACTCAAATAGCTTCACAACGATTGAAGATGGGTCTAAACTTTATTATACGAAAGTTACTAAAAACTTCATGGAAAATGGGGCTGCGGCATCTTCGTTGGGCCACCTTGTGTAGGTCTTTTTTGAAAAAAACTTGAAATCACACACACTAGAGCACTAAACTTGCTGATAAGGTGTAACAGCTTACGGCGCTTTCAAGATGCTGCTGAAGCTCTGCAAGTACATATATTTACAGTCACCAAAATTGTGTGGTTTCTGCAGGAATACTTTTCCCTACTAAAGTGACAAGCCAGTACATCAACGAACATTTTTATCTCTGGAGAGGATATTCAAGTATCCAATCGTAGTAGGTGTACTCGCGTACAGCAGTGCAGGACTGATTTCTGTGTTGAGGCGTGGATTGCTCTCAGTAGCTCAGTGATGGTTAATAAACAGGCATAAATTAAATAAACCTAGGAAACGAAAGTAAGTATTTATTAACGATACAGCATATCAACCATTCTGATTAATTCTTGGTTTAGAAGGTCAACAATACGTAAGATTACACTTATCAGTAAAAAGATCTGCTCTTATACTCGTATTAACCTACTTTTTGTATTCCACTGAAGCATTCACCATTTTTTTGTAATTACCTGGAACACTAGGGATCGTATATTGTATGGAATACACGCACTTTCATATACAGGGCGTAAACGTTATGGTAGTCACTATTGAAATGGGTAATAGGATGGGTCAAAACAGAGTCAAAAAGTTCATATGACCCATGGTCCAAAAGTCAATAGATTTTTGTCTAAATGGCTTTATTGTTTACAACTTTAAGTGCTTTATATCGACCACAATCTTACTAGTTTTTATAATCTAATCTAAAACGTGTTTAAATTGGGTAATTAACAAATAAAAGTTTTTCTAAGTTAAGCCAAAATTTGTAGTCAGTAAGCAAGTAAGTTTCATTAAATTGAATATTTAATACGCACATGACAACAGCGCGTCGGTCATCATCACCCTTATCAAACCGGCAATCGATCGCAAACGGTGAGAGTGGTTGGTATGTTGTTTTGTTTTTGTTCGCGTACGTCGTCGCGAAAAGAAATTTTAATGAGACTGAAATAATAAATGGACAACTTCGAGGACCTAGAGTAAGAAGAAACTGAGTTCGTCG